AATTACTTTAAAATGCTTTATCCAATGGCATCCTAATTCTAACCAAAGTCAAAAGGTTAAAGGGTTAAATCAACCCTGCTGGGATTCAATTTATGTATCTAGACATTTACCTTTTCCTAGACTCTAAGAAGACTGCTACATGACACAACCTCTGTTAATCATATAAACAAAGTATGGTCTTCTATAATCCAGAAGGCTTTCTTCATTCAGTACCCAAAGGTCTTAAAAAATGGTTTCAGTGGAGCATATGTCACACATATCCTCTCAAGACGGACTGTGCTGGCACATTTAACACAGGTTGAGTATCCCTTATTCAAAACGCTTGGGACCAGAAGTGTTTCCAACTTCATACTTCAGATTTTAGGATATTTACAAATACATAATGAGATCTCTTGGGGAGAGGGCCTACGGCTAAACATGAAATTCATTTATGTTTCATATACACCTTATCCCCACAGCCTAAAGAAAATGATATGCAATATTTTTAATAATGGTGTGCATAAAACCAAAGTTTACGCACCCTGCACCATCAGAAAGCAAAGGTGGCAAGGCACTCTGTTAGGCACCCACACGATGATCCGGGGCTGTCTGGCATCACCACCATTCCTGACTCTGAAGTTCCACACCACCAACAAGCACTTCCTTACACACATTCATTCACACACAAGTATTTCACAGTATGAACTATGATACACCACTGACCCAGGAGGAAAAACAACATGCTGAGGGCCACTAAGCAGCCCAGCAGCATCACCAAGAGAACACCTCTATCCAGTGTTAAAACAACAGCAACAACCACAACCAACAACAGCAGGCTTTCGGTCTGCCTATCATGCTGCGTTTTGAGTAAAAGGTAACGTTTAATACATTATACATGCATTTTAATTTCAGTTGAGAAGGAACATCAGAAGTAATTGAGGGGCCAGCAATGGGTCCTCCGGTGGTGAGGAGGCACTCTGCGGAGAGTGCTTTAAAATGCTTCCTCCATAATCAGTGGTGAAGCTGCCACTTGGGAAGCCTGCATCCCACCTCAGGGTGACTGGAGCTCCAGACCTGGCTTCTTTTTTTTTTTTTTTTTTAAGATTTATTTATTTATTTGAAAGTCAGAGTTACACAGAGAGACAGAGAGAGAGAGAGAGAGAAGAGGCAGAGATATAGAGGTCTTCCATCTAGTGGTTCACTCCCAAGATGGCCACAACAGTCAGAGCTGTGCCGATCCAAAGCCAGGAGCTTCCTCCGGTTCTCCCACACCGGTGCAGGGGCCCAAGGACTTGGGCATCTTCTACTGCTTTCCCAGGCCATAGCAGAGAGCTGGATTGGAAGAGGAGCAGCCGGGACTAGAACCGGCGCCCATATGGGATGCTGGTACTTCAGGCCAGGGCGTTAACCTGCTGCGCCACAGCGCTGGCCCCCTGGCTTCTTTCAATGCAGCTTCCTGCTAATGGCCACCCTGGAAGGCAGCAGGTAATGACTCAAGTACTTGAGTCCTTGCCACTGACTTGAGGGACTCAGATTGAGTTTGTGGCTGCTGGCTTTGGCCTGATCCAGCCCTGGCTGTTGGTGGCATTTAGGGAATAAACCAAAGGACGGAAGATCTCTTTCTGCATTTAAACAATTAAAAAAATTTAAATAGATATTTTAAAAGATAAATAACATCTCCTCCAGAGTCATTTGCTGCATTAACAACATTTTTGTCTTACAAGTCTTTGACTTACAAACCAATGCAAGCGGCTGGCGCCACGGCTCACTTGGCTAATCCTCTGCCTGTGGCGCTGATACCCCAGGTTCTGGTCCCAGTCGGGGCGCTGGATTCTGTCCTGGTTGCTCATCTTCCAGTCAGCTCTCTGCTGTGGCCCGGGAAGGCAGTGGAGGATGGCCCAAGTGCTGGGGTTCTGCACCCGCATGGGAGACCAGGAGGAAGCACCTGGCTCCTGGCTTTGGATCAGCGCAGCGCCAGCCATTTTGGGGTTGAACTAACGGAAGGAAGACCTTTCTCTCTCTCTCTCTCTCTCTCTCTCACTGTCTATAACTCTCTCTCTGTCTCTCTCTCACACTAACTCTGCCTGGCCAAAATAAATAAATAAATAAACCAATGCAAGTGCTTGCTCTGTTACAAATGCATGTGGCGGCTCTAGTCCTTCAACAAGGCCGTCACACATTTTCACCACACTGTCTACAGGCATGTTTTCTGCAGTGCTAACAACATCCTCTTTACCATCAATAGCATCGCAGTCAGCTTGATTCAGAACATTTTCAGCTATTTCCCCATTGATGAATGAACTGGAGCTTCACAATCAATATTAAAAGTGTTTTCAACATCCACTTCTTCTATGAAATTCTCTGCTGCTTTGCAACTGACAGATGCTTTATTACCACCACTCTTTAAAATCTTACACCTTGCCTTTTGTTAAGTTTCTCAACCAGCCTGTCGCATGTTCACAGTTCCCTACAATTTCCAGTTCTTCGTTTCATCATCAGCCTACCATTAAGTGGCATGTGCTCCCTACAACACTGATGGATCCACTCTTTCAAAACACAATTGGGATCTTCATTTTTGGTTGTATGCCGAGACACACTTTTTCAATGTACAATCAACATCTTCATTTTCAGCCTTATGCAGTGTTTTTCTAATTTTTACTAATTTCTGTTCCATCACTTTTTTTTTTTTTTTTTTTGACAGGCAGAGTGGACAGTGAGAGAGAGAGACAGAGAGAAAGGTCTTCCTTTGCCGTTGGTTCACCCTCCAATGGCCGCCGCGGCCAGCGCGCTGCAGCCGGCGCACCGCGCTGATCTGACGGCAGGAGCCAGGAGCCAGGTGCTTTTCCTGGTCTCCCATGGGGTGCAGGGCCCAAGCACCTGGGCCATCCTCCACTGCACTCCCTGGCCACAGCAGAGAGCTGGCCTGGAAGAGGAGCAACCGGGACAGAATCCGGCGCCCCGACCGGGACTAGAACCCGGTGTGCCGGCGCCGCTAGGTGGAGGATTAGCCTAGTGAGCCGCAGCGCCAGCCTCCATCACTTTTAACATAGAACTTAACTGTTTATCCTACTGTTTCTTCAGGTCCTAGATAGTGGTCATTCCAATATCAAACTCATCAGCTCTTTCACACTTTAACCAATGTCCAGTTTCTCTAAGACCTTGACTTTCTGTGCTAAAAACATAAAGGCTGCTTCTTTTTCTTATCACTGTTACCCATGAGGGTATCTATAGTCTTTTTCACTTTATAAAAATATTTTCAGTTGTAACTTTATACCAATAAGTATTTAAGAAAAAATCACTCAGTAATGCATGTAGGTCTTAGCTCCATGGGCCATCCCAGGGAACGTGCACATGTGACATTTTACTGCCTGTCACTGAGTACTTCCGTAGGGGAACCCAGGTGTGCACTAAAAGATCTCTCACATCTGAGAGAGCAGGGAAGGAGGTTTATCCTTTGCGGATGCTGCATAAACTGCATTGTGCACCTGCATTTTTAACTGGGATCCGTCACATGAGGTCAGGTGCACAATTTTCTCCTTGGGGAATCACGGAAGCACTCAAAAATCATCAGATTTGGGAATATTTCAAATTTTGGGTTTTTAGATCAGGGATGCTCAACTGTATGTCATTACCACCCACACGCATTAGTTTATTCTTGCTAAAACTAAGACAATAAATTCCCCACTCTGCCCATCCTTCTCCACTACAAACCCTCTATGGATGTTTATAGGGCAACTAACTCTGATATCCGTTTTGCAATAGGCAGCTTTAATTCCTACTTGTGACAGAACAGACCAGTGATATCACAAATATAACTGACTCAAACTGGAATTTGCTTTGAAAAACATCACAAACCAGGTAATTTTACTCCAGAAAATATGAAAATGGAAAATGAGGGAAAAAAAGAAATTATTTTTCATCAGTCCTTAGAAGTCTTCTTTAACTAATGGCATTAATGGTAGTAAGTGGCTATAATGGGTCATATCCAGTCTACAAACTGACTAAATAAGAGCAAAGATTCACCATGAGGCATATGTTCATAAGTGCACACAGCCCAAGTCCTCCTTGGTTGGAAACAATATAACCAGTGTCTCAAAACCCAGTAATAGGCCTAATCTTTTCACTGATTCCCAATATTGGTCTGTCTGAAAACACTCTTATGTTTAGAACTGACAACTACTGCATCTTCCTTATTATTATCAGAGAACCTACAAAACCTTAAAATCCAAAGAACTTGGCTATGAGATCAAGTAACGTATTCATATGTTGCTTAATTTTTGTTACCAAACTATAGCAGCATCCGTACTTTCCAAAACAAACACAGAAAGGAGGGAAATGAGAGGAGTAAGAAGAGAAGGAGGAAAACTTGTTAAACCCCCCAAGACTCAAAAACAGTATGCTAATTCCCACAGATTCATATAACAGAGTATGAAACCCATGTGCTAACTTGGTCTTCAAAGCAAACCATTTGCTAAGACAACAATAATACTTAATAAACACCAAATGAAAATCTGATTTCCAAGAAAAAAGAAACAGTATCAGAAACATCTATAACAATAACTATTTTTTCCTTTCTCCCAGATTTCTTTCACAGTGTAAATTCTAAAGCACAAACTCATTTGAGAAATAGCAACAAGTTTTAGGGAATGGCAAAGTTATTATCTTTATTTTACATGTCTCAACTAACAAATAATCTTCCATAAACCTCTTTGTTTAAAAAGAAATTAGATTTCTAAATGAAAACACATCTCCTACACTTGACTATTCATAAAGTCATACCAGAGTAATGGCTTCAGTCAATAACAGCAAGTATCACATTTACATTCTTCCCTACCTATAACGTTATATTCTTTTATATAAATTTGGCATGCTAGTATTATTGCTCCTTAAGAAAAAAGCCTACAATCCTTACTTTGAGCTTCATAATAGAGCTTAACCATTTTTTTTCCTCTACAGAGCAGAGCTCCAGCTATGCCAAGCACTCTATCCATTTTTCTTCTTAAGATGCTATGAGCTTCAGCTAAGAAGAGCCTCAAGATAATGAAAAATGCAATTATTCAACATCAATAACGCACATCCTTGTTCACTACGTCTCAACTTACCTAATACGCTGACAAATGCATCAAACAGATGAAATGTGAGTAACGGCTCTTTCAAGTGACCGTAGTAATCCGCTATAGTTTTAAATACATCCTTTTCAAAACCCAAGTACATGGGCTGCTTCAAATCAGAACAGTTGGGCCCTATTTTAAAAACAGAAAGGGAAACATTAGTGGAAGAATCACCTCGAAATATCTGTCTCTGTGCATATGTGTGGTATGTACAGGTATTCAAGATATTCTGACATTGAAGATACACAGAAAAATTGTCATGGGAAAATTGTCAGTATACATTTTGCTGACACAAATATGTTATATATTTAAATTAAGATTGCTTATAAAACGACGACGAAAATCACTGGCTTCCATTTTAAAAGCAACCCATTTTTTTTCCTTTCAACAGACATTTTTATTAAAGTTAATAGTTTTCTTTGAAATAATGAATGTTTTCCTACTCTTGATAAAGTTGGCCAAGAGGTGAGCCTTTGGCCTGAGAGTTAAGATAATGGTTAGGCAGCTATTGTCACGTATGAGAGTGCCTGGGTTAAATACCTAGCTCCAGGTTCTGACTCCAGCCTCCTGCTAATGCAGACCCTGGGAGGGAGCAGGGATGACTCAAGTAGTTGGGTGCCTCCCACCTAACTCAATCATAGAGACCCGAGCTGAATTCTAGGAAGCTACAGCCCAGTTCAGTTGCAGCCATTGGAGGTATTGCTTTCCCCTCTCTCCCTCTCTGTCTTCTCCCTCTCCCTCACTCTGTGTCTCAAATAAAATGTTTAAAAGAACTTTTTAAAGTTGAATAAGTTAGCAACATTTGTAATAGATAAGTTACAATGCTTTCCTTTATGTCTTCATTGTTATGTTACAAAATCCCAGTCATAGAGTTAAAGGAAATGATCAGTTCCTACCTCCAAATGAACTATTTCAGATCTATAAAAATTCAAACATTTTTTAAAGATATTCTGAAAGTATTTTTACATTTTGTCTTGTTAATTCATTCTGACATGGACTTCCTATTTGATCCCCAATAAAACATCAAAAGCTTATCAAACATAACCATACTGGAAAGTTGGAGAAAACTTGGAAGCCCTGAAACAGACTAGTCTCAGGTCTAAACTATGCGTGCAGCAAGGCAAAGATCCACTCATATCTGGGAACAAAGAGGAACAAGAAATGATTGATGGCACCAGCGCTGTGGTACAATGGGTTAAGCTGCTACCTGTAATGCAGGCATCTCATATGAGTACCAGTTTGAGTCCCAACTACTCTGATTCCCATCCATTTCCCTGCTAATGCACCTGGGAAAATAGCAGAAGATGGCCCAAGTACTTGGGGCCCTGCCACCAAGTGAGAGACTTGGGTAGAGTTCCAGGCTCCTGGCTACAGCCTGACCCAGACCTGGCTGTGAAAGCCATTTGAGGAGTGAACCAGTGGATGGTTCACTATCTCTCTCCTTCTCTCTCTCTTTCTCTCTCTCTCTCTGTCTCTGTAACTCTGCCTTTCAAATAAATAAATCTTAGAAAGAAAAAATAAAGCATGAAAGAAATGCTTGCTAAAGAGCTGACAACAAATGCCTCCAACAATCCATACACAGACCCCATATTTACACTGACAAGTAGATAGACTGAGCTACCCCATGCAAACAGTGCAGCCACACTGGCAGTTCTGACCAGCAGTAGACTACACGATGGGTACCCAAATAGACCTCTACTCACAGGAGACCAAAGCAGCAGCCAAGACGCACTGCAAGAAACTGAAATATTTGTTTGCTATGTCTCAGCAAGCAATATACACTGCCTAAAATTACTCGCTACAACAAGCACGTGGTTCATTCCAAGCATTTGTATTCCTGTGTGACTATTTTATCATTCTTGTTAAAAATAGGCAAAATCAAAATTTTCCCTTAAAAAAAGGTATATGTTTGGCCCTATAAGAGGAGACCATATTTTTAAGATCTTTTCTTTCTTTTTTTTTTTTAAGATTTCTTTATTTAAAAGTCAAAGTTACAAAGAGAGAGTCTCAGGTCTTCTATTCGCTGGTTCACTCTCCAATTGGCCGCAACAGCTAGAGCTGTGCCAATCCAAAGCCAGGAGATTCTTCTCGGTCTCCCACATGGGTACAGGGGCCCAAGGACTTGGGCCATCTTCTACTGCTTTCTCAGGCCAGAGCAGAGAGCTGGATCAGAAGTGGAGCAGATGGGACTCAAACTGGCACCCATATGGGGTGCTGGCACTGCAGGCAACAGTTTTATCCACTACACCACAGTGCTGGGCCCCAAGATCTTTTCTTTCTTGATCACCTTAAATTTTAAGAGTATTTTTCTTTATTCTAAAATTTTTTAAAGATTTATTTACTTTTTGAAAGGCAAAATTAGAGAAAAAGAGGAGAAACAGAAAGATCTTCCATCTGCTGGTTCACTCCCAAATGGTTACAATGGCCAGGGCTTGGCCAGGATGAAGCCAGGAGCTTCTTCCAGGTCTCCCATGCAGATGCAGGGGCCTAAGGACTTGGGCCATCTTCTATTAATAGGCTTTCCCAGCCTATTAGCACCCATAAGGGATAGCAGAACTGCAAACAGCAGCTTAACCCACTGCGCCACAGTGCCAGCATCTGTTCTGATTTTTTATACACGTTATTCTTGACAGACTCTGGAAAAGAAATGCTTTGACTTCTTTGTGCCCATTTTTGATGGAATCCTGGGACCTATATGCTGGGAGAAAAATCCAGCTCATCTGATTTTGTTATTATTTAGCATCAATCCCTCACTGTGTGACCAGCTCTGAGCCTGGTCTGCAATGACAGCATCAGGGCCCAAATGCAGATGGGCCTAAAAAGAAAACCTTGGGGAAAACTTGGCAGAAAAGGAAGAGACAGGCCTCGAAAATATCATGTCATCAGGCTATCCTTTCTTTCCCTGGTAGGCTACCTTAACAGGAATCTGGTCAGATTACAGGTAAGGGCAAGAAAAGGTCATGACCATGATGGACTACAAGTAAATTCTGAGAGTCAACAAGAATTTTGTAAAAATTAGTGATTTTATAAAACTATCCAGGGGCCGGAGCCGGGGCGCAGATTAACCCTCCGCCTGTGGTTCCAGCATCCCATCTGGGCACCGGTTCTAATCCCAGCTGCTCCTCTTCCAACCCAGCTCTCTGCTGTGGCCTGGGAAATCAGTGGAAGATGGCCCAAGTCTTTGGGGCCCTGCACACAAATGGGAGACCCAGAGCAAGCTCCAGGCTTCTGGCTCCTGGCTCCTGGCTTTGGATTGGCGCAGCTCCGGCTGTTGCGGCCATTTGGGGAGTGAGCCAATGGACAGAAGATCTTTCTGTCTCTTCCTCTCACTATCTGTAACTCTACTTCTCAAATAAATAAATAAAATCTTTAAAAAATAAATAAATAAATAAAACTATCTGAAAAATGTGGTTGGCCTTTGCCTACCTTTTTTCCTTTGGCCCATAAACACCTTTAAGGCTATGCCAGTCATTCATAAAGCATCCCACTTGGTCCATGTGAGACACATTCCCAATTCCAATAACACAACACCACCTCCCACATGGACAATCACTACTAAGTCACACTTCACATCTGGCTCTATATTAATAAATAAATAGATAAATCAGAAGATGTGTGGCTTTGCATCTGGCTTGAGGGAAGATCATACTCTTCACTGCATTTCTGTCATCAAAGTCAATATCATAAACACATCATAGTATACATTTTACAACATATTATAACCTAGATTTACTATTCCAGTTTCCTATGTTCATTCATTTCCAGCCAATCAACTTCCAAATCCTTGGTTTCCTAGGAGTTCAGAAATGGGTAATTTAAATTCCCATTTATACCTTCTATCTCATCATTGCCAGCTCTGGCCAAAGATATCATTTAGATTTAATTTACCTCAAATGGGTGAGCATGAGAATAAAAAGCTATTCCCCAAGCTGCACCACAGGATCGACATCTCAAGCATTCCAGAATTTCTGCCAAAAACTAATGAAAATTTTAATAGTTTAAATCCAGAGACCTTTGGGCTTCACAGAAGTTAATCCTGCTATTCACATTCAGAATGACAATTTACAACCATTTTCCTTCTATGACGACTAAGATGACAAGATGACTCACATTAAGCTGAATAGTTATTTCAGTTTCATTCTATAATCTAAAAACCTAACTCCAATGAAGTCACTAATCCAGGCTCTATGCATTCAAGATTTATTCCCCTCCCTGCGTACCTGCTAACCCTACTCAAAAGGAAAGAAACCACTCACTGAGGTATCTTTGGGACTCAAAATCCTCTCCAGACCAAAAATGGTCATCAGCCAGAGTACCTGGAAGTCTTTTTTAGGAAAGCACTTATTAACCACTAGAATCCCTTCTTCAAGTTACACCTTCTGAAAATCCCCAGAAAATGATAGTATTAGTGAATCATTGTAGCAACTCATTCCTTTATTGTGTCTATGAATGAAATGGACATTATGTGCCCAGAATGGATGTCAAAGGCCCATGAAAATCCTCACAGGGACTGTGCTGATCTAGTCCCGCTTCTTAGTACCAAATTACTAAAACCGCCTTTCTTGTTTCCATGCATCTAGTTTCTTCTCATTCCAAACCATCCTGCATATCAGTTAGATCAGTCTCCTAAAACAATTCTCTTCCATTTAAAATACTGACTTTGGGGGATTAAGGCAGCCACGTCCCATGTTGAGAGTACCCAGCTCCAGCTGCTGACTCCAGCTTCCTGCCAATGCAGACCCTGGAAGGCAGCAGGTATTGTTCAAGCAGTTGGGTTCCTAAACCAACATGGGAGACCGGGGTTGAATTCCTGACTCACAGCTTTAGTTCAGTCCAGTTTCAGTCACTGTGGACACTCGGGGAATGAACCAATAGGTTAGAGCTCTCTTTCTCCATCTAGCTTCTTCTCAAGGAAACTTATGTATGTATGTATGTATGTGTGTGTGTGTGTGTGTGTGTATATATAAAACAATTATATATATGTATAGAAAGCCATTTATAGATAAGATTTGCTCAATAAACTGATTATGTAAACACACTGGATTTTTAATAATGCAACAGTACTTCAAAACATTTGTGAAAACTAGAAATTACTGAATTAAAAGATGAGTTTATTTTCATACAAAAAATTGAAATACATGCATAAAAAAGATCTTCAAATTGTTCATGGAAATGTTTATTATGAAAAAAATCTATGGGGTCGGCACCATGGCTCATTTGGTTAATCCTCCACCTGCAGTGCTGGCATCCCATATGGGCGCCGGGTTCTGTCCCCATTGCTCCTCTTCCAGTCCAGCTCTCTGCTGTGGCCCGGGAGGGCAGTGGAGGATGGCGCAAGTGCTTGGGCCCCTGCACCCACATGGGAGACCAGGAGGAAGCACTTGGCTCCTGGCAGCGCCGGCCCTGGCGGCCATTTGAGGGGTGACCCAATGGAAGGAAGACCTTTCTCTCTGTCTCTCTCTCTCACTGTCTAACTCTGCCTGTCAAATAAAAAAATAAAAAATCTGTGAATGGAACTCAAAATATTTTTCACACCAAAATCATCATTATCATGATTATTATTTGAGAGGCAGACAGAGAAGAGAGAGAGAGAGAAAGAGAACAAACTTTTACTCCCAAACACCCCAACAGCTAGGGCTGGACTAGGCCAAAGTTAGAAGAAGGTAGACGGAGAAAGAGAGCTCTAACCTATTGGTTCATTCCCCAAGTGTCCACAGCTGGGCTGAAGCTAGAAGCGAGCAACTCCATCTTGCTCTTCTGTATGCACAGCAGGAACCCAACTATGTGAGCCATCATCTGCTGCCTCTTAAAGTACACACTAGCGGGAAGCTGGAATTGGGAGCTAGAGTTGGGACATGAACCCTGGCACTCCAATACGGGATGCAGACATCTGCATCAGTGTCTTAACTGCTAGACCCAACACCCGCCCCACTGATCTTTTAATTCCATTTTTCCAAGAACTTTTTGAAGTAATCTCACTTGTACATGTTTAGGAATAAAAATATAAGTTTTAGGAACACAACTATACTTTAAACAGACAGGTGATGCATTATAACATGCAATATTATCAGTCTCTCCTGTAATGAAGCAATTAGAAACAATGTAGACTTTATCTGTGGTACGATTATCTCTACTAGACAGTGGATGCATTAAATCCCTTAATACTGTTCTGTAACTCAGCCTTTTCACTGTCATAAATTTATCACTAAAAGCACAATAGTGCCAAAAAATTAACTGCTACCCTCACACGTGTCAAATCAATGTTCAGGCTATTGAGCAGAAATATTTTCTAATTCAAGGCACTAAATTCTGTTGAGTTCATAAAATAGGCAGATCAGTAGTACTCACAATTTGCCAAACACTTCATAGCTGACAGTACCCAGTGAGGAAGTTCTTCTGCAGAAAAATGAGATAAAAAGAAGATATTTAATTCCATAAAAAATAAGAAATTATAGTCATGCAGATACTTGATATTATAAGAATGTATTATTTGCCCAAGTTAATATAAACCATATCTGTTAATCACAAATCAACCACTTAATTTATCTTTGCTTACCATAAACCTATTTTGTTTCCCATCGTCCTCTACTCCAGATTCAGGGGCAATAAAAAGGAAGGGTTTCACGGCTGACCCCGCAGCTCACTAGGCTAATCCTCCACCTTGCGGCGCCAGCACACCGGGTTCTGGTCCAGGTCGGGGTGCCGGATTCTGTCCCGGTTGCCCCTCTTCCAGGCCAGCTCTCTGCTGTGGCCAGGGAGTGCAGTGGAGGATGGCCCAGGTGCTTGGGCCCTGTACCCCATGGGAGACCAGGAAAAAGCACCTGGCTCCTGGCTCCTGCCAGCGGATCAGCGCGGTGCGCCAGCCGCAGCGCGCCGGCCGCGGCGGCCATTGGAGGGTGAACCAACGGCAAAGGAAGACCTTTTTCTCTGTCTCTCTCTCATTGTCCACTCTGTCAAAAAAAAAAAAAAAAAAAAAAAAAAAAGGAAGGGTTTCAGGTTTCACGTTTCAAAAACAGGTTCTGCTCCAATTAGAGAACATATCCTAGAAAAACCTCTTCCCCTCTCACGACTGCTCAGGCTCCTTCTGGTACACTATGTACACTGACTCGGGAGCTGCAGGAATTATATCTGATAATATTTTATAAAAAAAAAAACAAAACAAAACAAACAAGGGGTCAGTGCTGTGGCATAGAATAGGCTGAGCCTCCGCTTGTGGTGCTGGCATCCCATATGGGCACTAGTTTGAGTCCTGGATGTTCCACTTCCGATCCAGCTCACTGATACAACATGGGAAAGCAGTGGAAGACAGCCCAAGCGCTTGGGCCCCTGCACGCACGTGAGAGACCCAGAGGAAGCTTCTGGTCCCTGCTTTGGATTGATTCATCTCTGGCCATTATGGCCATTTGGAGAGTGAACCAGCAGATGGAAGACATCTCTCCCCCTCTCTGTAGCTCTGCCTCTCAATCAGTAAAAAAGGCCCAGGAATAGGTGGCTTCATTGCTGAATCCTACGAACTTTAAAAGAAGACTTAATTCCAGTTCTTCCCAAGTTATTCAAAACAATTGAAAGAGAGGAATCCTTAACACGTCTATGAGGGCAACATCACCCTAATTCCAAAACCAGAAAAAGATACAACAAAGAAAGAACTATAGACCAATATTCATGATGAAAGTAGATGCAAAAATCTTCAACAAAATACTAGCTAATCAAATCCAACAACATATCAAAAAGAATATTTACCTGGACCAAGTGAGATTTATTCCTGGTATATATAAATGGATGGTTCAACATACGCAAATCAATCAATGTAACACATCACATTAACAAACTAAAGAATAAAAACTATATGATTATATCAATAGATACAGAGAAAGCATTTGATAAAATACAACATCATTTCATAATAAAAACCTTAATCAAACTGGGTATTAAAGGAGCATTCCTTAACACAATCAAGGCAATATATGACAAACACACAGCCAGCATCATTTTGAATGGAGAAAAGTCAGAAGCACTTCCAGAAAGATCTGGACTCAGACAAGGATGCCCAATTTCACCACTGCTACTCAATATAGCTCTGGAAGCTTTAGCCAGAGCCATTAGGCAAGAAAAAGAAATTAAAGGGAGACAGATGGAAAGGAGGAAATCAAATTATCCCTGTTTGCAGATAACATGATTCTAAACATATGGTGGGACCAAAAGACTCTACTAAGAGAATATTAGAGGGGCTGGCACCGTGGCATAACAGGTAAAGTGGCCCACTGCAATGCCAGCATCCCATAAGGGCACTGGTTCAAGTCCCAGCCGTTCCACTTCTGATCCAGTTCTCTGCTTTGGCCAGGGAAAGCATCAGAGGATGGCCAAAGTCCTTGGGCCCCTGCACCCATGTGGGAGACCCGAAACAAACTCCTGGCTCCTGGCTTCAGACCATCTCAGTTCCAGCCATTACAACCATTTGGGGAATGAACCAGCAGATGGAAGACCTCTGTCTGTCTCTCTCTCTCTGCCTATGCCTCTCTGTGACTATGCCTTTCAAGTAAATAAATAAATATTTCTTTTAAAAAGGAGACTATTAGCACTCTTAAGGTATGAGTTTGGTAAAGTTGCATGATATAAAATCAACACACAAAAGTCAATAGCCTTTGTATTCACAGACAATGCCATGGCTGAGAAAGAACTTGTAGGATCAGTCCCATTCACAATAGGAATGAAAAAAATTTACTTTGCAATAAAGTTAACCAAGGAGGTGAAAGAGCTCTACAATGAAAATTACAAAATATTAAAAAAAAAGAAGACACAGAAAAATGGAAAAATCTTCCATGTTCATGGATTGGAAGAATCAGTATCATCATACTACAGAAAGCAATTTACAGATTCAATGTGATCCCAACTTACCAATAACAATCTTCTCAGAGCTAGAAAAAATGATTCTAAAATTCAAGAGACTCTGAATAGCTAAAGCTATCTTAAACAACAAAAACAAGGCCAGAGGTATCACAATGCCAGATTTCAAAACATACTAAGGGCAGTTATAATCAAAATAGCCCTGGTACTGGCATGAACATAGATATGTAGACCAATGAAACAGAATCAATATAGAAATCAATCCACATATCTACAACCAACTAATCTTTGGCAAAGGAGCTAAAATCAATCCCTGAAGAAAGGACAGTCTCTTCAACAAACAGTGCTGGGAAAACTGGATCTCCATGGGCAGAAGTGAAACAAGACCCTGCCTTGCACCTTATAAAAAAAATCAACTCAAAATGGACCAAAGATTTCAATCTACAACCTGATAGCATCAAATTACTGAAGAACACTAGGGAAACTCTGCAAGACATTTTCATAGGAAAAGACTTCTTGGAAAAGACCCTAGAAGCACAGACAATTAAAACAAAAATAGACAAATGGAATTACATCACTCTAAGAAGCTTCTGCACTGCAAAGGAAACACAACAAAATGAAGAGGCAACTGACAGAATGGGAGAAAATATTTGCAAAGTATGCAATTGAAAAGGGAGTAATATTTGGACTCTATAAATAGCTCAAGAAACTCAACAACAAAATAAGTAATCTAATTAAGAAATGGGCAAATGTCATGAACATTTTTCAAAAGATGAAATACAAATGGCCAACAATCGCACGAAGAAATGCTTAGGATCTCTAACCATCAGAGAAATTCAAATCAAACCACAATGAGGTTTCACCTCACACCAGTTAGAATGGCTCTCATAGAGGAATAAAAAATCAATGCTGGCGAGCACGTGGAGAAAAAGGTACCCTAGTCCACTGTTGGTGGGAATGTAAATTAGCACAGCCACTATGGAAGACAGTATGGAAATTCCTCAGAAATCTGAAAACAGATCTCCCACATGACCTAGCTATCCCACTCCTGGGAATTTACCCAAAAGAAATGTAATCAGCACATGAAAGAGTTACCTGTACCCTTATGTTTATTGCAGTTCAATTCACAATACCTAAGATATGAAATCAACCCAAATGTCCATCAACTGATGACTGAATAAATAAAATATGATATATACACTACAGAATACTACTCAGCTGTAAAAAGGAGTGAAATCCTGTCTTTTCCAACAAAATCGATGCAACTGGAACCTATTACACTTAATGAAATAAGCCAGTCCCAAAAAGAAAAACACCATGTTTTCCCTGATCTGTGGTAATTAATAGAGTGAAGAAAAATGTAATGTATATTAGCAAAATTGACATTCTGAAATGTGATTACTGTTTAAAGCCCTTGTCTCTACTGTTAAGGAACAGTGTTTTTTCCTTCTTACTGTTTGTTGAATTCTGTACTTAGTGAAGGGTTAAGCTTATGATTATAAAATAAACTAAAAGTATGTCACTATAAAAATTTTTAAAAAGAATGAGAAAGGAAGGAGGAGGAAGGGTGAGAGTGTGGGAAGGAGGATAGGGTGGGAAGCATCACTATGCTCTTAATCTGTACATATTAAATAAATTAAATTCATTCAGGTTATATAAATTTTACAACCTATTTTAAAAAAAAGGAAATTTTAGAACCAGTAAGGGGATTGTGGACTGCTGAAAGCACCAAAACAATATTTCTCTGAATCAAAAACCATGTTAATGCAACATGCACCTGTCATGTAATATTACATAGTATTCCATGAACATGCACAATTTTTTAAAGATTTATTTATTTTTATTTGAAAGTCAGAGTTACACAGAGAGAGGAGAGGCAGAGAGAGAGAGTGAGGTCCTCCGCCTGATGGGTCACTTCCCAGTTGGCCTCAATGGCTGGAGCTGCGCCAATCTGAAGTCAGGAGCCAGGAGCTTCCTCCGGGTCTCCCACGTGAGTGCAGGGACCCAAGGACTTGGGCCATCTTCCACTGCTCTCCCAGGCCATAGCAGAAAGCTGGTTTGGAAGTGGAGCAGCTAAGTCTCAAACCAGCACTCAGATGGGATGCTGGTGCTTTAGGCCAAGGCATTAACCCGCTGTGCCACAGCGCTGGCCCCAGCATGCACAATTTTTTATACCTGTTAAAAATCATTATAGGGCCAGTTTTGTGCTACAGGAAGTTAAGCCACCACCTGCTAAACTTGCAACCCATATGATCGCTGGTTTGAATCTCAGCTGCTCCACTTCCAAACCTGCTCCCAGCTAAGGTACCTGTAAAATCAGTGCCAATGCCCCAAGTACTTGGGTCTCTGCCACCCATGTGAGAAACCTGGATGAAGCGCATGGCTCCTGGCTTCAGCCTGACCCATAAATACGCACAACTTTTTATGTCTGTTAAAAAAAAAATGTTTTGGGGCCAGCACTGTGGCCCAGTTCTAGGAGTTTGGGCCACTTGGAGTTGGAGAGTGAACCAATCGACAGAAGAGCTCTAATTCTATTTCTGTGTCTCCCTCCCTCTCCATAACACTGTGTTCCAGTAAATAAATAAATCTGTTTTTAAAAATTGTTTAATAAAAACCTAGGTTTAGGTGACTGTTAAATGTCTTTCCTCCTAATCTTTAAACAGACTTCGAAGAAAAGATACACAAAATTAAAGGACCTTCAAGATTTAAAGAGCAATGTTATCAAAAAACAAAATGGAACAGCAAAAACCAAGACCATCTCAGAAAACCTGATGTAAACACCATAACAAAAAGATGAACGCAGTAGGAACCTGGCAGCCACCTAAAAATTGACTCAAGTCTCAGTCAGGTCTAAAAACATACCCACTTTTCAACCATTTTCCTGGAAATAACAGGAATCACTCAGTGCCCATGGTGGCTAAAACTGAACTCATCTATGGGAGAATTTTATTAAAGCTTTCAATGCTGATCACTCACCTTTCCATGACATTTTGTTAATATAAAGAACTAGCTATAAAGGTTTATCAGAAAGGGAAAGAAGGATTTTTTTTTTCTTAAAGATTTATTTATTGATTTGAAAGAGTTACAGAGAGAGAGAAAGAAAGAAACAGAAAGAGATAGATCTTCCAACCGCTCCCCAAATGGCTGCAACAGCCGGAGCAGGGCCAATCCAAAGACAAGAGACAGGAACTTCTTCCAGGTTTCCCCCTTGGGTGCAAGGTCCCAAGGACTTGGGTGCAAGGTCCCAAGGACTTGGGCCAAGCTCTGCTGTTTTCCCAGGTGCATTAGCAGGGAGCTGAATTGAAGTGGCTAAGCTAGGACTTGAACCAGCACCCATATGGGATGCCAAGACTGCAGGAGGCTTAACCTTCTACGCCAGAGCACCAGCCCTGGAAAGAAAGATTTATTTAAAGCTGAGGTAACTTTCTCAGGGTTAAGGGAAGGGTCAAATAGGAGTTGATATAGCAGTGCAGCCAATGAATGGGGTCAGCCAAGAGCTAAGTGGTTTTCAGGCACTTACTTGACTTGTCATCGAGGACAACAACTCCCTGCTTGCTGACACTGTACACGTTATGCATGATGAACTTAGCATTGACAAGCTTGATGTCTAAAACTTCTTCTAAAGAATCCAGACCAAGGATTTTCTGTAGACTGAAAAAGTAATAAATCAATGCTATGTTAAAACATCATCATTCACCTAAAAATCAACAACTGCAAAAGATCAATATTTATGAAAAAAAGCTATAAATGAAGAAAATATCCCTTTATCACTTACATATTGCTTCACTGAGATCATAACACAATGAAAAACAATAAAATAACTTTTGCTTAATGTTTATTTTTTGAGATAACTTTAATTTTTTTAATAAGATCTTATTTATTTATTTGAGAGGTAGATATAGACAGTGAGAGGGAGAGAGAGAAAGATCTTCCTTTCATTGGTTCACTCCCCAGATGGCCACAAGGGCCAGAGCTGCGCCAATCTGAAGCCAGGAGCCAGGTGCTTCTTCCCGGTCTCACATGTGGGTGCAGGGGCCCAAGGACTTGGGCCATCTTCTACTGCTTTCCCAGGCCATAGCAGAGAGCTCGATTGGAAGAGGGGCAGTTGGGACTAGAACCAGTACCCCTATGGGATGCCAGTGCCGCAGGCAGAGGAATAACCTACTGCACCATGTGCTGGCCCCTGCGCTTTCTTTTTTAAAATATTTATTTATTTGAAAGGCAGAGCTACAGAGAGAGGGAGGGAGACACACAGAGAGAAAGCTTCCATCCCCTGGTTCACTCCCCAAATGGTCGCAATGGCCAGGGCTAGGCCAGGCCAAAACCAGGAGCCAGGAGCTTCCTCCAGGTTTCCCACTTGTATGCAATGGCGCACACACTTGGGCCATCCCCCACTGCCCTTCCCAGGCCATCAGCAGGATGATGGATTAGAAGTAGTGGAGGATGGAATTAAGATGGCAGTGTATGGAGGGAAATTGCTGCTCTAGTCTAGGAGAAGATAGTTTAAAAAAGTGAGAAGAGTGCAGTCTCAAAAAAGAGGGAGAAAACAACAGAGCAAACTCTTCGCAAACAGTAGGGACACAGTGGACCTACATGGAGGGTGTGGATGTCCACAACTCAGGACCTTAGCAGCTGAGAGCCTCCACACCAGCAATGGAGAGTGAGGTGAGACCAGACTGCAGCAGCCCAAGCCACTGGTGAAAAAGCTGCAGGAAGAGCCTAGAGGCAATCTGGAGCCTCATGGGGGATAGTATACCTGCCAAACTAGGGGAGAAAAACCTGGGGTGGGGGTTCATTTTCTCTCTACTCAATCACCCTGCAAAGGCTTCCTGTAACAAACTGACAGAGAGCAGGCACAATTTTGGACATACGTAAGAGCTGCACCAGCTCATGTCCACACATCCAGCAACCAGCCAAACAGAGACTCCTGAATCTGGTGGGGAGAACAGACAAGGGGGCTGGGAGCTCATGACTGTGGGATGCTTGTGTGCCGGGGCTGTGAAAGCACTGAGGCTGTGTGGGAGGACTCAGTATGTGGCTGGGACTTTGGGCAGCCACTGTGGGAGGCTCCACATGCTCAGGGCTTCCTGGTTCCCTGGTGAGACTTTGCTGGGGAATCTGAGCTTACAACAAGGACTGCAGAGAACCTTGGTGTGGTCCTTGTGGCAGAGCAGACAAATAATATACCCACTGGGGCCAGGGCACAGGACTGGTCTTTGAGGAGAAGAGCTCAGCTGAGTGTACACCAACAGACAAGAACAAATGTCCCCTCTGATTAAAAAAAAGAAGAAGAGATTTACCAAATATGTGTGTGTCACCTCAAATGTGCCCTTCACCCTGGAGCACTGAACAGAGCTCTTGGCCACACCCACCACATGCTTCTAGGTAATCCCTGAAAGTACAGACTACACTAATCCACACAGCCATGGTCCAAAGATAAACACCACAACAGTGAAAAAACAAAGAAGAAACCAACGAGTATCTCCGCAAATGCCAAATAAAACAACACACTCAATTCAAGAAATAAGAATAAGGAAGACAACATGAAACCCCCAAAAGAACACAACATTTTAATACTAGATTGCGAAGAGATGAGATTGAGGTAATGCCATGCCAGAAGTGGAATTCAAAACATTGATCAGAGGATAACTTAGAAATAATCAGAAGCAGGAACTAATGAAATCCATACATGAAAAAAAAATTTCTCCCACAAAATTGAGATCTTAAAGAAAAATGAAAAGGAAATCTTGGAAATAAAGAATTCAATAGAACATATAAAAAATTCAGTGGAAAGCCCTAACAACAGAATTGGTGAAGCAGAAGAAAGAATATATGGCTTAGAAGACATATCACAGGAAATTAAAGTCAGACAAAACACAGCAATAAGAAATTAAAAAACAAACCAGAAAAGAAAACCTGTTGGTAATCTACAGAATACTATCAAACAACCCAACAAACAGGTTCTAGAAATTCTTGATGGTATGGAAAGAAAGAAAGGATTAGAAAGTCTTTTACTGAAATAATAACAGAAAATTTCCCTAATTTTGAGAAAGAGGGTGACATCCAAGTACAGGAAGCACAAAGAACACCTAACAGACATGACCAAAAAAGATCTTGACCATAACACAGTGTAGTCAAATTCTCCACAGTAAATATAAAGAAAAGATTCTAAAATGTGTATGAGAGAAATGACAGAGGATCTCCAGTTAGATTCACAGTGGACTTAACAGAAACCCTACAGACTAGGAGAGAATGGCGAGATACATTCTTAAGAGAATATATAGCCTTAAGAGAAGATATAGTCTTAAGAGAAAAAAACTGTCAACCTAGAATACTATACCCAGCAAAGCTCTCATTTTTGAATGAGGGTGGAATAAAGACCTCCCGTGACAAACAGAAATTAAAGGAATTTGTCACCACCAGTCCAGCCCTGCAGAAGATATTTAAGGATGTGCTACACACAGAAACACAGAAACATGGTCATCAATGAAAGAAGGTAAAGACAGAAAACCTCTCAGGAAAAGTAAAAAAGAAATCCAAAGTAAAAAAACAGGAATATTATGGAAAAGTGGCAGGGCAAAGTTGTTACTTATCAATAATCGCCTTGAATGTAAATGGGCCTCAACTCCCCAGTTAAAAGACAGACTGGCTGAATGGATTAAAAAACAAAACCCTTCTATTTGCTACCTACAGAAAACACACATTACCAACAAAAATGGACACAGATGGAAAGTGAAAGGATGGAAAAAGATATTCAATGCTAACAGAATCCAAAAAAGAGCTGGTGCAGCCATCTTAATACCAGACAAAATAGACATTAACACAAAAACTGTTAAAAGAGACAAAGAAGAACACTATGTAATGATTAAGCGATCAATTCAAAAGGAAGATGTAACGATTGTAAATATATATGCACCTAATTGCAGGGCAGTGGCTATTCAAAAGAAATGTTAAGGGATATAAAGGGAGACATAGACTCCAATACAACAGTAATAGCAGATTTCAATACCCCACTTTCAGCAATGGACAGATCACCCAGACAGAAAATCAGCATGGAAACGACAGAGTTAATCGACATGATAGATCAAATGGACCTAACAGTTATCTACAGAACTTTTTATCCTACAGTTGCAGAATACACATTCTTCTAAGCAGTGCACAGAACTTTCTTAATCACATTCATAATAACTATGAAAAAAATCAAATACCTTGGAATAAATTTAACCAAGGACGTCAAAGATCTCTACAATGAGAATTACAAAACATTAAAGAAAGAAATAGAAGAAGATACAAAAAAATGGGAAAATCTTCCATGTTCATGGATTGGGAGAATTTATATCATCTAAATTTCCATTCTTCCAAAAGCAATGTTCATATTCAATGCAATACCAATCAAAACACCAAAGACATTTGTCTCAGATCTAGGAAAAATGATGCTGAAATTCATATGGAAACACAGGAGACCCCAAATAGCTAAAGCAATCTTATACAACAAAAACAAAGCCCGGGCCGGCGCCGCGGCTCACTAGGCTAATCCTCCGCCTTGCAGCGCCGGCACACCAGGTTCTAGTCCCGGTTGGGGCACCGGATTCTTTCCCGGTTGCCCCTCTTCCAGGCCAGCTCTCTGCTGTGCCCAGGGAGTGCAGTGGAGGATGGCCCAAGTGCTTGGGCCCTGCACCCCATGGGAGACCAGGATAAGTACCTGGCTCCTGCCTTCGGATCAGCGCGGTGCGCCGGCCACAGCGCACTGGCCGCGGCGGCCATTGGAGGGTGAACCAACGGCAAAGGAAGACCTTTCTCCCTGTCTCTCTCTCTCACTGTCCACTCTGCCTGTCAAAAAAAAAAAAAACAAACAAACCAAAAAAAAAAAAAAAAAACACAAAGCCAGAGGGATCACAATACCAGATTTCAAGACATAACTACAGGGGAGTTATAATCAAAACCGCCTGGTACTGGTACAAAAACAAATGGATAGACAAATGGAACAGAATAGAAATGCCAGGAATCAACCCAAGTATCTGCAACCAACTTATATTTGACCAAGGAGTTGGGGAATGTACTCAAGAGAAATGAAATCAGCAAATAAAAGAGTTATCTGCACCCCCATGTTTACTGCCATTTAATTCACATTAGCTAAGACATGGAATCAACGTAAATGCCCATCAACTGAAGACTGGATAAAAATTATGGGATACGCACTCTATGGAATACTACAGAGCAATAGAAAAAAAAAAATGAAATCCGGTCATCTGCAACAAACTGGATTAATCTAGAGAACATCATACATAAAGAAATAAGCCAATTACATAGGAACAAATATCATGTGTTCTCCCTGATCTGTGATAATAGAGTACCTAAAAGGAAATCTGTAGAAGTGAGAAACAATGACATGAACAGCCCTTGTCTGAAGTTTTTTTTTTTTCCCCCTCTTCTTCATACTATTTGCTGGACTCTTTATTTAACATAAAGTTAATCTTATGTGTATAAAGTCGACTGAAAATAGATCTCAGTAAAAAATAAGAATGGGACTAAGAGAAGGAGGAAGAAGTTTATTACTGTTAAGCTGTACAGTTCTGCATACATTCCTACAGACTTACTTCTAAGGTTACAGTTTAAAAATTTTCCATGGGACCCCAGATCCCATTAAGCTGGGTGATAAAAATGCCATCCTAAGTGTTTAAGTGACCATATTAAGTGTTAAATTGATCATATAGATAGGATTCAGTGTTAATGGATCATATAAATAAGATCAAGTGTCTGGTAATAATAATAGATAGAATTAAAAAGGAAAGAATGTTCAAATATGGGAAGCAGTCCACGTAGCAGACACATAGAATGACAATCACTTTAAATAGCACTCTGACCTTAGAATCAGCCCTTAAGGCATTCTGGTCTGGCTGAAAAGCCCACGAGAACATTTCAGGCATGGAAAGCCAAGACACTGTGGGGAAAAAAAAAAATGTCCTACATGAAGGATCTCTGTTAGTGAGACTCCTGTGGAAAGAAGGAGCCATCAAAAAAGGATTTACTTTTCTCTGAAGAGAGGAGAGAACTTCCACTTTGCTTATGGCCTTGTCTAAATACTGACGGAGACTGTGGATTCAAAAGGTTTCCATAGCTTTGGCATCTCATGTCAAGAGCCTCGGATGATCACTGGTGTCATACATAAGAGTGGTAATTGTTAAATTAACAACAGGATTCACTGTGCACTTCCCATGCATGACCTCTAGCTTCAATGAGTTGTACTAGGAGAATTAACTGTAAAACTTGTTCTCAGTTTGTGTGTGTGTGTGTGTGTGCACGCGCGCAAATTGTTGAAATCTTTACTTAAGTATAGAGTTGGTCTTCTGTATATAAAGTTAATAGAAAAAGAATCTTAATGGAGTAAGGGACTGAGAATGGGAGAGGGAAAAGGAGGTGAGGTGGGAATGTGGGTATGGTGGGAAGAATCATTATATTCCTAGAGTTGTACTTACGAAATCTGTGCTTATTAAATAAAAGGTTTATTTGGGAAAAAATAAAATTAAAATTAAAAAAAAGGAAGTGGTGTAGCTGGGACTTGAATCAGCTCCATCATGGGATGGTGGCACTGCAGGAGGCAGTCTAACCCACTACAGCACAGAGCCAGACCAGAGATAACATATTTTTAATTTACATTATAATCATGGTCCTAATGACTAATAAATTATATAAGTAAAAATATTATAAAAACAAACAGTAGCTTATCCAAAAGTGAGAAACTGCTACCAGTATATTCTAGTGATAAAAATTGCTTTTACTCTAACACTGTTAATTTTTATTATACCTATGTTATATCAAATTATCTAGGAGATCAAATTTTCCATTTTGAGTTTTATGAGGTTTAAGATTTGAGTGTTACTAGAAGGTTTAAGAACTTTTAAGTTCCTATTTTTAACTACTATATAAATAGTAACAAAAACAACCCTCAGAACTCAGTAAAATTATGTTTTCTAAGCAACACAGCTGCAAATAAGGCAAAGTTCAGATTCTTATAATTTCACAAAATTAAATATGCAGAGTAATAAGCAAGCAAAATAGAAAAAAAATCACTAAAATTCCTCATTAATATCAAATGTACATACTATGATAATGTCATAGACTTCCAAATCTCTTCCACATTGGCCTCAGTCAGCTGTCTGCGGCGGACGAGTCGGCAAGCTGGCACCTCTCCAATGGCAATGCTGTGCCGTTTGTACCACATCTCAGAGTTCTAATGTGAAGTGGGCATTGGGGAGTAGAAAAGAGGGAGGGAAAGAGAAAGGACAGGAAGAAAAAACAAATGTTTCAATATAAAATAGTATCATTTTCTGAGCAATATCTTTGTCTATGTATAATTTGGTTTAAAATAAGTAGAAATACAAACTAATTTTATTTGCACAGACCTCAGAAAGTAAAGAATGGCTCTTAAAGTTTGGGTCATACTATAAAGGAATATTCATGAGTTGCAAAATAGCTGTGGCAATATGCATGACACTAAGTGGGATTTTTCTTGTAGGAGTTCACTAATCAGTGAAGTGGCAGTGAAATAAAATTTTGTTAATCAAAATTAACTGAAGGAATATCCAAACTGACTGTCCAAATTGAGTGACTGTTTAAAATGCAGTATTTTCAAGAATTCTTTTTAACAAGCATATATCAAATAAGAACAGTGTTGGAAAGGAAGTCCCGCCCCAAGGACTGCTACAGAGGGCAGAGATGCCCTATACAGAAAACAGTGAAAAGTCGGAGAGGCTACTCATTTGCCCCAGTTCGCACCACGTTACCCCTTTAATACTCTTAGAACCTCTTTTCTCACACTTAAGCTACTAAACATAAATCATAAAACATCCTTTTGGAAATCACTGAGAATTTTGAGCTTAAAACACAAAAAACAGGTGCCCATATTGTGGCATAGTGGGTAAAGCTGTCTTCAAGACACTAGTATCTCATATGACCCCAGCTGCTCCACTTATGATCCTGCTCCCTGCTAATGCACCTGGGAAAGCAGCAGAAAATGTCCCAAGTGCCTGAGCCACAGCTACCTACATGGGTGACCTGGAAGAAGTGCTTGACTCCTGTCTGGCCTATCCCAGTCCTGGCCACTGTGGCCATCTAGGGGAGTGAACCAGTGGATGGAAGACCTCTCTTTGTCACTCCCTCACTCTCTGACACTGTTTCAAATAAATAAATCTTTTTTTTAAAAAAAAAAAAAAAGAACACATAAGAAGTCATTTGCAAAGAGTTACTTTAGTAGTTTTTGGCAAAAGTAGTATTAGAGGAAAACCTTCATATTTGGAAATGAGTAAGCAAATTCTTTTTAATCTGTTTTTCTTTTGTTTTTTGCTTAATTACTGAATTACAAAAGAAATCCGGGGGCTGGCACTGTGGTGGAGAAGGGTAAGCCTATATCTGCAGCGCTGGCATCCCATATGGGCACCCACCCATTTGAGTCCCAGCTGCTCCACTTCTGATCCAGCTCCCTGCTGATGGCCTGGGAAAGCATCAGAAGACAGCCCAAATACTTGGGCCCCTGCATCCATGTGGGAGACCCAGAAGAAGCTCCTGGCTCCTGGCTCTTGACTTCAGCCTGGCCCGGCCACTGCTGCCATTTGGGGAGTGAACCAGTAGATAGAAAATATTGATCCTGAGACTCCAAGATGGCGGAGTAGGGAGGGAACTTACTGCCCTAGCCCAGAAGACAGTTTAAAAAAAGTGGAGATAGTGTAGTCTCAGGGAAGAGTTAGGGAAAAAACAGGAGAGGAAACTCTACCTAAATAGGAGGGACATGGTGGACCTATGTGGAAGGTGTGGGCGTCCATGGCTCAGAACTCCACAGCCAAGAGCCTACACACCAGCACTGGAAAGTGAGGTGAGACGAGACTGCAGTAGCCTGGGACACTGGCAAAAAACCAGCACCAACAGCTTAGAGGGAACAAGGTTTGAAGCCTGGGGGTGGGGGTAGGGGGTGAGGGGTACAGTCAAACTAAAGGAGGAAAAAAATAAAAGGATGGGATGGACACGTTTCTCTCTCTCCAATCACTTTACAAAGGTGTACTGTGACAAGCCGATAGAGCAGGCGCCATTTTGGACATACATAACAGGTGCACCAAACAAAATAGACTTTAATACAAAAACTGCTAAAAGAGACAAAGAAGGGCATTATATAATGATTAAAGGATCAATTCAACAGGAAGATGTAACTACTATAAACATATATGCACCTAATTATAGGGCACCTGGCTATTTAAAAGAATTGTTAAAGGATTTAAAGGGAGACTTAGACTCCAATACAATAGTATTAGGGGACTTCAATACTCTACTTTCAGCAATGAATAGATCAACCAGACAGCAAATCAACAAGGAATCAGCAGATTTAATCGACACTACAGACCCAATGGATCTAACAGATATCTACAGAACTTTGCATCCTACAGTTGCAGAATCACATTCTTCTCAACAGTACATGGAACTTTCCCCAGGATTGACCACATACTAGGCCATAAAGCAAGCCTCATCAAATTCAAATAAATCGAAATCATACCATGCATCTTCTCAGACCACAATGGAATGAAGCTGGAAATCAGCAACTCTGGAATCTCTAGACCATATGCAAACACATGGAGACATAACAACATACTCCTAAATGAACAGTGGGTCATAGAAGAAATCAAAAGAGAAATCAAAAACTTTCTTGAAATGAAGATGACAACACAACATATCAAAACTTATGGGATACAGCAAAAGCAGTGTTAAGAGGAAAGTTTAGGTTCTTACATCAAGAAATTAGAAAGGTATCAAATAAATGAGCTATCAATACATCTCAAGGATCTAGAAAAACTACAGCAAACCAAACCCAATACTAGTAGGAGAAAAGAAATAATTAAAATCAGAAAAGAAATCAACAAAATTGAATGCAAAAAAACTTACAAATGATCAGCAAAACATAGAGATAGTTTTTTGAAAAAATAAACAAAATTGACATATCATTGGCCCAACTAACCAAAAAAAAAGGAGAAAAAAGACCCAAATCAATAAAACTAAAGAAGAAAAAGGAAATGTAACAACAGACATCACAGAAATAAAAAAGAATTGTATGGCAATAAACTGGGAAAAAACAAGTATCACCACAAATGCCTAACAATAACGACAGTAAACCAAGAAACAAGAATAAGGAAGACAATATTGTCGCTCCCCCTCTTCGTGGAGGAACGACACAGGACCCTGCGCTGTTCTTTCGTCTGCTCGGCCCTCCCCGGGTTTGCTGCTGGTTCTTCCCGGGTTGGCTACTATCCCTTCCACCTCCGTGGAAGGGCAGTTCCCCCTGGCCACATTCCCCACTTCCGCAGGGGAGCGGCACACCGCCGGCCGGGTCTCTCGGGGGCTGCACGGGTGTTCCTTCAGCTAGATGTTCCCCTTAGATGTTCCCCATAGATGTTCCTGGTGCATGCCGTCTCTCTCCTCCTTTATAGTCCTCCTCCACCAATCCCAACTCGGCTGCCCACACGCCGAGTACGCCGCTCTCCAATCAGGAGCAAGTCCTACAGTTTATTGGTTGAACTGGAGGCAGCTGTGCGGAAGCTGTTTACTTCTCTCCCAGCGCCATATTGTGGGAGAGCAGATGCATAGAATAAGTCTTAATTCCAGTAACTCAGTCTAGTCCGGTTTGCTCCCCACAGATCCCCCTTTCTTTTTATTTTTTGGCGTTGATACGCGCCTGTCTTCGGTGTCCCGCGGCACACACTCTGCTCTACTTGCTAGAGTTGCCACAGGCTCTTACAAGTCCTATCCATCAGGCAAACCGAATCCGGGTTCTCTCTTCGCCATGTTGTGAGGAGGTTTTTAGGCGCTGATGCGTGCCTGTGTTCGGTGCCCTGCAGCGCATGCTTTGCTCTGCCTGCAGGGGCTTACAAGCCCTAACAATCAGGCAAACCGAATCCAAGCCTTCTCATTGCCGTATTGTGGGGGAGACTTATTAGTGTTGGTTCGTGCCTATCTTCGGTGACCTGCAGCTCATACTCTGGTCGAGCTGCTTGCTGGCGCTTACCGCCTTAATCAGGCAGACCGAATCCAAGCCTCCTAATTACTGATGTTAATTCGTGCCTGTCTTCGGTGACCTGCGGCGCATAAGCTGCTAGCTGCCCGCAGGTGCTCATCACCTCACTTAATCAGGCAGACCGAATCCAAGCTCTCACATTGCAGTGTTGTAGGGAGGCCTTTCTATTTCTCTAATTCTCTATCTCCGGGCATTCCTATTTCTCCCATTTTACTTCTATCTTCCAGCATTCCTATTTCTCTCACTTTACTTCTAAACTTCTGTTTCCCTTATCCCCGCGGCTTCCCGGCGCCTCGCCCTGCCGGCAGGCTCCGCCCCGAGGCTATTTCTCGGCGCCTCGCCGGCTCTGAGCCGCTTCAGCCCGCGCCTCTCTCATCTGTGCGGCTCGGCTTTGCGCGCACACTCCGCGGTCTCCGCGCTAGCCCCGTGTTCCCTATGTACTTGAGCCCCGCACGCTCTGTCTGCGCGCGGCAGCCTCCGCGAGTCACACAGCGTAGCTTACGTGTCCGCCACTAGCATTCAATCTAAGTTCCCCGGGCTAGCCTGGCGAATTCAACCCAGCTTACGTCTCCGCCCCACGGTTTGGCTTCCCGTCCTTTGCTCCCCGGGCTAATCAGACGGATCCCAATCTGGCTTACGTTTCAGCTTCTGGTTTCAACTTTTCGCCCCCCATTCCCGGGCTAACTTGAGAATCCCAAAGTGGCTTTCGTATCCGCCTCGGCCTGCCCCCCGCGGCTTCAATTTCCCTAACACTTTTCTCTACCCGGTATGTTTCCCTAAGTTTTCTTCCAACAATATTCCTCCCTCATTTCTCCTGGGCCTCTCCCCACAGTCCGCGTCCGAGTCTGTTTGTTCTAGCTTTCACTTTCGCTTTCGCCCTTAGAGATTT